GTGTGATTATATGCGCAAATCATTCGTCCTAATACAGATTCTCTTCTTAGTCTTCATAAAAGGAAACCTCCTTTCTTCCTGTCCATGAAGAAATAATTTTCAAAATGCTTGTTATTTATCATCGATCAATCTCACTTTTTAAGTAATTATTTGACTCTTCTCATCTGTACATTTGTTTCAGCAAGCGTTTTCATATTCCAGAAGTAACAATTAAATTATTCCATTTTTTTTCATTATCTAACTTGACTATGCTTGTTTTTTACATAATCTAATTCCGTAAATGAAAATTATAGATTCTCTGAATGAAGAGACTTTATATACTATTTACGTGTTAAAAATAGAAGTATTGTCCATAAAGAGAATCTCCTTTAATTTAGAACATAAAAGGAAAAATCATTCTTTCAGGTTGCTGCTTAAATGGCAGTAATCTGTTATCTTTATTTCTGTTGGTCATTTTTTCCTCTGCTATCTTGCTTGCTCAAGTGCCAAATGACATATATAAACCATTGTAACTTCTTTTCATACAGAGAAGCCAGACTAGTAACTATTAAGAGTGCTTCTTGTTACAAAGATTATTATTATTAATTTTTTTTGGGGAGGGGTAGTGGTAGTGGTGTAAAATTGTTACAAAGATATCACTTTGTCTGTATTTGGAACAATTTGGTGGCCATCTCATTTAGACCTCTGATGTGCACTTCTGGCATATTTGAAGGAACCAATAATTTTTCATAAGTTCGCCTTTTTTTTAAGTCAGTGTAACAGTTTGTGCATGAAAATTTCAGGATTTTGGTGTTCTCATGATCCCCACAATTCCGGGGTCTCCACCTAAACTGCAAACAAGTACGTCTGAATTAGAAGTTTTTCGTGCAAGTGCTTTCAGCCTGCTGTCCATTGTTGGAGTATCTGGATTTTGCCAGGTTGTCCCGTGTGTGTATTTTTTGTGTGATTGTGGAACACTTACTCCTATATTTTCTTTAATCAATCAAACTTCAGTTCAGAATGTTATAACAATGTGGTTTGTCATGACACTTTGCAGGTAAACATACCACTGGGGATGTATAATAATCTTCCTATATCAATTTCTCTGGTGGCCAGACATGGTGCAGATGGATTCTTGCTTCACCTTGTTGAGGTTCTTTATGACAGCATTAAAGGAGAGGAATCAGCTTAGTCAGCATAAGTTACTTTAATCTGACTGCAAGGATGTCACTGTAGTAAGTTATATATCCTACTCAAATCTAGGGAAAGAAATTTATGGAAATTGAGAGCTTCTGTGCAATACACATATTTTAGTTCCTCATCTTATGTGCATGTTATAGTAGTTAATTTTGTGACTTGTGAGCAAACAAGAAAAGATTGTTATTTAGAAGAAGCAATCCATGATTTTTAGCACATGCAAAGGAAAGTTATGTCTAGTCATGTTTTTCTTTTGCAGGCGTTATAAGTATGCATACTGTGCCAAAGCTGGGAGAGAAGCACAACCTGAAGTACTGGCAAAAATCAAAAGAGGGGAAATAGTGTAAAGGAAATCCTTGCTTCTCTGACACATCCTCTTCACTTCAAACATGATAAGAGTACAATAAGTCATTAAGTCATACCATAGATATTATGCTTGCTTGGTTATGAAAACATAAAAGCCACACTGAAATTAATGACACTTACTTTAATACCATATCATGTTATCAGTTGTTGACGAATTAGATTTTAAATTGCGTCGGTTACTCAGAAACTAGTTTTATAGGAAGCTCACAGAGGGATATGTGGAAAAGCACCTAGAGGTGTAAATGGGCTGGGCTGGGCTGGGCTTTGGCCATCCTGGCCCAAACCTACGTAAAAAAAAATCTAGCCTATCTGGCCTACTGGCCTATTAAAGGCTTTATTTGTAGGCCAAACCCGGCCCATTTTAAAAAATAAGAAAGCCTGACATGGCCTACAGGCCTTGTAGGCTTCCCACTATATATACTAAGCAAAAAAAATAAATTGTATAGAGCAAAGAAAGTTTCATTCATCCATGCACTAGTACTTCTCATAAGAAAAAGATGACAAACAAGAAAGAGTCAACATTATACCTCAGCTCTAGAATGTATATCATAGAGGAATAAAGTTAAAGAAATGAGAAAAATAAGAAAAATACAATTACTGGATGCTGAAATAAAGTCTACAAGAGAATATCATTCATTTAAAAATCTTTAAACCACCATCAAGACAAGGGAAAGAAGAGTATTATTGAAAGATCTTCATCAGTAACATCATAATCCAGCAAGGTACCCATTGCTCCATGGTATTAAGCTGCAACAGCATGTAAAATTTGGAGACATTAGACAAGTTTTTCTTTCATAAAATAAAATAGCACAAAAAGTAAGAGATATTGGTATTTAGTACTTTGTGTCTTTGCCACATAAAATAAATATTATTTTATTATTTTATTTTCATAAATTAAATAGGCCAGCCTACAAGGTTGTAGGCCGGGCTTGACAAAATTGGCCTATGGCCTATTTATTAAAAAAGCTTTTTTATAAGCCTAAGTCTACTCTACTTTTCTGAAAGGCCGAGCCTGGGCTGGGCTGGGCCAGCCTGGCCCATTTACACCCCTAGCACCATCCAGTTATCACTCCAACCATCTTTTCTTTTTGTATAGTAGGGCATACACTCCGCTACGACTTGCATTATTATTTTCTTTTTGTGAAAGTGAGCTTTTGCTTTTTTAAATAAAAAAATAAACTTAACTCATGTAATTTATGTTTTTATCAGTTTATTTGACAATAGATAAATGTTTCATTTAGGTTTTCACAATGATGGGAAAAGAGAAAAGACATATAACTTTGAGTAAATAAGATGTAAATTTTGAAATAGAAAAAAATCAATTTCATTAATTTTAGACACATCATTGTTATTTAGGTGAGTTTTGCTATCGCAATCTATCACCCCATTCTTTTTATAGAAAAAGTTGTTGAATTTTTTTCTGAGTTTATACCTCCAGTTAGGTCCACTGAGCTCAAGTTCAAGAGCTCAACTCCTTTAAAGATCCAAGATCTTTTTACCTGGATCAGCACTTTTGACTAGAGCCATAGATTACGAGCCCGAATCGTGGGACCATAGACCAAGAGCTTGGATTATGAATTTAAACCCAAGATCTTTTCCCGCTTGTTCGTAACCGTGATCACCCTAACCACCTGATAAGGCTACGATTCCTATAATTACCTGATAATATCACTTTCGCTGTAACTGCCATATCTGAAGGCTATATAAGCTTGTTAATAATATCAAAGGGGATACTTCAGATCAATTCATCTCACTCATCCTTTCATACAGAGCATATCTACTTAGCTTATCATATCTATAGCTTACACCAGACCTTAGTCATTGTCGGCATACCTTAAACACTTAACCTATAACCCACATACCATAGTTGGAGTTCACTTAGAACAAATTTATTTTTATAGTAAAACTCTGTAATTCTTTAAAATTTAATAAATTAAAATCATGATACATTCCAAACTAAATTAAAAGTAAATATATATTTGTTTATTTCAAAGATTAACTCACTTAAATCATTCCCTTTTACTTCCTTACCTACAATTTCAGGTAACAAGAAAGCCTTCCCCCATAATGTGTTTATTAAAAAACACATTCTTAAATTGTATTAAAAAGACAAGCTAGATGTTGATCCACATTGAACATGCATATGCCTAACTTTATAAGCAAAGTGCTTATCACTCAAGACCGCCAATATGTTGGGACAAATTGACAAGGGACAAATGCCAAGCCTACATAATATATATGTCATTTTTTTTTGGGGGGGTTACATAGTAAGGGCTAAGCCCAAATAACACATAACATATATCTGTTTCGGTAATTGACGCCCCTTTTATATGTGGACATAAAAAAAAAGAAATTGTTATATTTTGAGATAGAATTGATGTCTGAATGTAAGGGCTTAAATAGATATAAAAAGGAAAGAAGGAATTCTGTGGATCAACTTCTTTTTATAGATCTGCAAAGATATACAAAACCTCTTTTTTAAATAAAAAAAACATTATTTATAACTATGCATGATTGAAGCTGAGAATTTATAAACTAGTTTTCATTCTGAATAGAATATGCCAAAAGTCCTTTTAATCAATTACAGGTAGTGTTATCAAATTTTGGCATATTTTATTTAGAATGAAAAACTGTTTATAAATTTCATCCACATACTGGATCAATAGATCACCGGTTTAATTAATAAGTCATTGGTTCAACAATTTCAATTAAATATATATTATAAAATATAATAAATATAAAATCAGAAGTATTATAAGAATAAATAGAGCTGATTTATGGTAAGTGTTGTAAGTTATAATTCACATGGTCTATATTCAAAATTTTAAGATAACAATTTTTAAACTTTGGATACCTTTAACAATTTTAAACTTTTTTTTGTTATTTTTTTTAATAAATTTGTGTACAAACTACCAAGTGGTAATAATTAGATAAATAATAATATTTTATTATATTTACAATTACTAAGGTTAATATATAAAATACTAGTGATTTTATTCTAATTTCTTTCTTTTAATTTGAAATTAATGTTTTTATAAGAATTTTATTTACATGTTATATCTTAAGAAAAAGTGTTTGTCAGAAAATAACTTTATGTTATTTTAAGTGAAACAATCATATTTTAATATATATTTAATTATTATTTTATATTCTCTCTTATGCACAAATTTAGGAGGGAAAAGAGTGTAAAAAAAAAACACCAAAATAAAACTGTTTCACTTAAAATGATTAAAATTTTGTCATTTAAATGACAAATGTTTTTTTTTCCTATATATCTTAATATGACAATTAATTTAAAAAAGGAAAAAATGTTTCTCCCATAATATAAGATAAAGTTATCATTAGGAATACCAAAATACGTCATTTTAGAGGTTTGTAAAAAAAAAAAAAGATATTTTAATATATATTTTTATTTTATATAATATAATTTTACTAAAATATTCTATATATTTTTTAAAATTCACGATATCAATTTTGGGTTGAGGAGATTAATTTAGGGGAGAAACCTTAATCCCTTTTAAAAAAAGGTTATACTTATATAATGTTACATAAAAAACACTATTTGATGCTACATAAACATAAATGAAGAGAGAGAAAATGAGTTGAGGAAAGAGAAAATCAAAAATTGTGGACCCTACGTCTATTTGTTTGGACAGGAAATGAATCTTACATCATGTTACATAATAGATGTATTTTCCTTTAAAAAATTACCATATTGAAGTCTCTGGTGTAAAATTAAACTTTTAAATATGATGTTTCGAATCTGTAATAGCACTATGCCACTGGTGTTGTAATTTTGCAGCATAAGGAGAATAGGTTTGGAGCGAGGTGCACGATACGATGGAAGATGACACAACGTTCGAGCTGAGCAAGTGTGTTTCCTCGGTGTCGGAGGATTCCAGTTTCTGTTGCCCAATTTGCTTGGGATCATTGGTTCAAGTTTCCTACCTCGATAAATGTTTTCGTATGCCCTTGCCCAATTCCTTGTCACTGCTTTTCTTAATAACCATGTCTCTGTTCTGTAGCCAGATAATAATATTAATTTTAACCCAAATCATATGATTCTTAAATTTGACATTTTCGTTGGGTCTTAATCCGAAAGTTTACAAATTTTTGCATACGGTGTAGGCCATTTACTGAATCAACAGAAAATAGTTTGATTTGGGTTGCATGCTTTACCTTGTTTATATTGTAACATATTTCTCTTTGTTCTTTTTGCACTTGTTGAGCTGTTGCTTAACGATTCTGGAAGGAACTTGAAAACTTCTTGTTTGAAAATCCCTGTTGGGAATTATATATCAAGAGAAGATTTATTAGGATGTTGAAATTTAAGAAGCAATTAGAGGCAAATGTACCAAATCACTTATGCTGCTATACATTATTCCTAGTAACTACTAACTAGTAAACTTATTCTTGTCTTGCAGATAAGTTTTGCTTCAATTGCATTTTACGCTGGGCCAAAGTTGTTGCTGGCAAGCACCGTTCTCCACCTTCTTCTGTAAAATGCCCCCTTTGTAAGGTTTGATTGAATCCGTTATTTTTCAACTTCCCACAATTTTATTTTTTTTCTTCCGTTTAGATTTTTATTGCTGTGGACTTAAGTGAAGTATATCCATTTTTCTCCCTTTTCCCCAGTCCCACCATGATAAACCTCTTTAAGAAGAATTTGGATCAAGGACTTTTAAGTGCTCTCAATTCACTGCACCCTAAATGTTTCTTATGGACATCTAAAGTTGTATAATAGTAAGGATGATAATTTCATTTGTGATAGAATCAAGTGGAGAAATGGTAGTAGAAGATGGTTTCAAGCTGGATACAATGAGCTACTGACTTTGTAGTTTATGCCTAATATGCAGACAGAAAATTTTTCTATCATATATGGAGTTGATGGAAGTTGTTTTCAACGACATTATGTAAATAAGGATTTTGAGGATAGGTTTGTCTCAGTTTTGTTGAAGTTAAAATTTTAGTAGAATTATCTTTATGAACTTTGATCTTCTATTTTTGTATGCAGTTTTATCTTATCAAGAGCGCAGAGATATAGATTACAATGCTATTACACTGAACAAGGTCTTCTACTATCTTTCATTTAACAAATTTCGTGCTCAGTAGTGGTGTCTGTCTGCCATTTGGTTTTTGTTGCATTTTTGTTAATTGTTATCAGTTTGCTTTACTTTTAACTTTGTCTGAGCAGGATTCTTAGACGACATATTCAATATATCGCAATATTGGAAATCTCATAAGTATTTTCAACCAAACTGCTGGCTTCAAAGTTGGTTAAGAAGGGAAATTCAAGCTCTTATCCAGGTTAGTGAATTGATCAGATTAGTGGTTTGTACTGCATGCTCTCTCAGATTAGTGTAAATTGTTCTCATCCTCTGTAATTTTCTCTTCCAACTGAAAAAATATCCAGTGGCATAATGTGCTTTATCTATTGCAGTATCTGGATTCACATTTTATTGCATTTTCTTAAGTACTACTGTATGTAAGTGCCTAATTATGGATGAAATTTCTGATTCTTCTGTTTCTGTCTTTTTTAATTAGTTTTTGTTTGGTGAAGGATGGAACATCCCCGTCTCGAGCCGGTTCAATTAACATACACATGATATAAACAGAAACAGCGGAAGACTTAACTTACGAAAATATGAGCTAACTTTTTCTTTTTCTAACTTAATTCTTACTCGGCGTAAACGAAAATCGGGCAGAGTTTCCTCTATAAATCGGACAACTGGGGATTTTCCAATCCCACACAGAAGCATTTCCTGATAAACAGTTTATACAACATATCAATTCAGAAATACCAGATATCCAACTATAATCGAATACCCATACATGGGCGCATGCATAACATGGCTCCGTGCCACTAAATCTAACAGCATGCCATCAAAACATAAACCTATATGAATACTACATCATCATATAACGTTCCTGAATACTCAAATGTACATGCATCAAACTGACAGACATGTACAAAACATATACAGGCCATATACAAAATAAAGGATCAATATCATGATCCATCAAATGCGAAAATACTAAAATACATCAAACACTCCAAAAAGGTAGCAGCCTACAGCCACTCAAAATCCGGTCTGTCAACTGCCTCAGCCACGTGTCGTGTCCCTGCCTAGTGAGGACTCACCGGAAATCTGGGCACCTGAAAATGTGTCCCCAAAGAGGGGTGAGATTACAAATCTCAATAAGCTCCAGGTTTATAGAGAATTCTCCATACCCCTGGCTCACTCCTGCATGAAAGTCAGATACAGAGTATACAAATACAACATATAACAGATATCATAACAGAACAGAGCATATATCCATATCATATCAGAGATGTGCGCCGTCATTCCCAAGGGAGGACCCCAAGCGGAAATCAACGCACGTGTTCCCGAGGGAGGACCCCAAAGCGGAACCAGACATATCAGAGGAGTACACCATCAGTCCCGAGGGAGGACCCCAAAGCGGACGTCCGGGTACTATACAATCAATGGCCAGAGATTGTTACAGAAATCAAATTACAGAAGTCATATCAGAGCAAAACATATCATGTTATCAAATAACTCTATATGAATGCATCTATACAAAGCATCTAAATCACAGTCATACAGTCCAACCATAGTCCACTAACCATGGTGGAGCACTCAAGCAGGAAAAGACTCCTTAAACATAGAGCTTACCTCTTGAAGCTTTACCAATACGCTTACTTGTGGAACAAGTTACTTTTATCGCTTCAAGAGATTTCCGATCCTTCTCAATCCCTAGGCACACCTAGAGAATAATTTACAATGCATCAATAAAATGATGCAATACCATAATTATTTCATAAGCATACATTTTATCGCTTATTTTCCTTTCTTTGCATTTTTGCCAATCCTATGCCAATACACAAGTCTAGACCTCTTTATAACCGTTGGTGTTCTTTAATTTAATCAACCATTCCCTTAGGAATTTTCAACATAAATCATGCTATTTTTCTTCAAAACTCATCACCTTTATACAATTTATTACAACACATTTTATTTAAAATAAAATGTACAAAATATATCCCTAAATACCCTATAGGTCGAATCCTACAAGGGGAATTTCCAAAGATCCTTCTCTTTTACAATGCATTTTCGTTACTTCATTACAACTTGCAAACACCTAGGAATGCTTCCACTAAATTCCTATGTTGAGTTTAGACACCAAGTCCTTTTTTTACTTAGGCATTCTTACTAACTCATCCATTTTCACTCATTTCCAACACACTATACCTTCACAATACATAATATAATTTTTTCCACAATAACTCCTACTCACTCCATGATGGCCGAAACCTAGGAGGAAGATGCAATAGGACTTTTAAATTTTTATATCACATGTGGATGCTTACTCAACACTATAACTTCCTAAACAACAATAATCCATCATAAATTTCACATTCTAACATCAATTATTTCCCAACAAAATATGCTCATCAATTTCATAACTTAAATCATCAAAATAATATCATGGAAATAGAGGTTTCTTACCTCTAAACACTTGTACAAAGCCTAGAGAGCAATCTCCAAGCCAAGCTCCATCCAAAAACTCACTTTTTTTCCTCCAATGAATAGTAACTCGAAAATGAGAGGAGGAATAACTCTTCACACACTCAACAAAACCTCAAATTGATGGTTGGAATGGGTTCATTGGGTGTTTTAGAAGCAATTTCATGTGGTGGGTCTTTGAATTTGGAGTAGAAATGATGGAGAATCAAGGAGAAGAAATTCATAACCCTACCCCCCTTCTCCAATGGTGCAGCTCGGTTTTGAGAGGGTGAGAGGAGAGAGAAACTGATTTGGGATAATGAGACTAAGTCACTTGTAAGGCTAGCACATGTGGCCTTTTTTAACAGATGTTTTTCTATCGCGTATTTTAACTTAAATTGACCCGGAACTAACTTAAAACTTCGAACATATTTTTATTTTTCTAAAATCATTTATATTAATTTTTATCTGTTACAAAACAATATTCATAATTCACAGTATGGTTTCTGCACCGTTTTTGACGAAATGCACTGTGAATCACTAATTGTACTTTATTTACTTTTAAAACTTAACACTTATAAACTTATCATTTTCTTGGGCCTATATTGACTTGCTTGGCATATATTGGACTTTCTTATTCTTATTTCATCAATTATTTATTTCTGGACTCTACCGGTTGCTTAAACAGCAATACAAAATACCCGGTAGAAACACTATTCACGAGATTTTCACGGAAAGTGCCAGACTATACAATTTTTCGTTCTGAACTCATATTTGTCATCAGAATTTTCAAATTATGTTCCTAAAATTATTTTGCTCATTTTAAGCTCTACCGGTTAATTCACAAAACTGTAAATTCTCCGGCAGAACGCACTGTTCATAACATAGTCATGATTACAGTCAAAATACTCGAAATCGCTCACTGAATCTAATTATGGCATTTAAATCCTTAAATTAAATCTCTAACTAAGATTTATCAGTTAGGGTCATTATAAAGGAGGACAAAGGGGGTTTGCTATAGTAATTGCATAGTTGTGTTCCTTGACTAGTACTACGTATTCGTGACTTATATTTCCTTTTGCTTAATCTATAGGAGGAGGATGTTGACATCATTGTGCACCATATCCTTGGTGTGGTCAAACCATTATGGACTAGGTAAGTTTCTTCATGCATTTTAAGGTTATATAACATTATTTGAGTATGAAAAATAATGACGGTTAATGTTAATTCTCAAACTTCCAGGAGAGAGCAGAAGTCACACATAAATGCACCTGAAAAGAAACAGGAAGAGTTCAAGATGTCAGTCTCTGAAGCAGCAAGGCCTTTTCTGGCAGTAAGAACGGACAGATTTGTATATGAGATTCAACTTTTTCTTGCTTCAGGATTGAATATAGAAGCTTATGATGCTGTTTACATACAAAGATTAGGTTGGAGCTCACCTGGGGTAAACACTGAGGTTTCTCAAAGTGAATTAATTGATCGCACAACTGTGATTCCATACCTGTATATATTTGATGACGACTCTGATGGAAATGAGTAGATTCCTTGTTTTGTTTTTCTCACTTTTTGTCTGTAATTGCTGTATAGTGTGATTGTTACCCGAATAGCATAGGAGAAAAAATTCATATATCAATAAGCGCTATTGAGGGTTTGGATCCTGAGCAGTTAATTTAAAATTGCAGGATGAGCAATTATCCATCCAAGGGTCTAAAGCTGTTAACATGCTTCTTAATAACATTTTATCATATAATAACATTTTTCATGGTCTAGATTTTATGCCGTTCTAACAAAACTGCTGAGAATCCATTTTCTGCCATTGAATATGAAACTCCTGATTCTTTAAGTTCTTACAGACTAGCGAACAACACTTGCCTTCTTTATAAAAAGGTAAAAGAAAAAAAAAAAAAACATTTGCTCAATTTCTTATTTGATGTAATGTGTGATATGAAGTGTGCTCCAATAGAGTTTCTGACTAGTAACTTTCTCCAGTCTGCCATACGGAACATAAACAAATAAAATTTAAAAGGAATAGAAAGAATGGACTGTTGGAAAAACTGAAAAACAGTAAAAGATAGAAGAGGAGTAAAAAATAAGGGTCAGGAGATAAAGTTTATTTTTTTACATACGTATAAAAATGTGCGGGGTTCGTGTGAAGTAAAAGAAGAGAAAGAGAAAGAGAAAATATAAGTCTTAAACACTTTTATGTATATATAAAAGATAAATTTATCTCATATAACATAAGAAACAATAAATTTAAAAAATAAATGGATGAATGATGTGAAAAATGAAAAAATAAAATAAAATAAAACGCCTTCGCTATAGAACACAAAGGGAAGGACAAAAAGATTTAGAAGGATGTCGTGTGATTGTTATTCTGGATTGACCGATCAAAGTTTTATGCCAGCCTTATCCTTTTAAATAAGGGTTTGAACTTTGAAGCTTCTAACGTTACACGAGATAAACTGTCTCCTTCACACAAAATAATAATAATAATAATAATTAATTAATTAATTAATTAAGTGAGATCATTTTTTTCTCTCTCCTTATTGCTATGTGAGAAATACGTTCTGATAGATTATATTTAAAAAAAATTTGTTTATCAATTCTTATTAGGGGAAGGATATTGTATCAACCAAGTTGTGTTACTATCAAGTGACTACCAATCAATCTTACCGTTAGATCGATTATGTTGATCCAATGGTTATATTTATTTCCATCTTTGTACGGTCATGATTTTCCAAATTTAATACTTTATATTTATTTTCACCTTTGTATGGTTATGATTTCTCATATTTAATGCTTTCACTTTAAATATGGGGAATCATGACCGTACAAAGATGGAAATAAATATAACCGTTGGATCAACATAATCGATCTAACGGTGAGATTGATTGGTAGTCACTTGGTAGTAACATAACTTGGTTGTCACAATATCATTTCCCTTCTTATTATATGTAGTACATGCTTAAATAATATATATTATCCGTAATATATAATGTAATTCATAAGAATTTATAAATATAACTATGCTCTTAAAGAATCATGAGTAAAATTAAAGGGAAATATTTTTTTGTTGTTATGTTAATGAAATAAAATGATAAGAGAGACCCATAAATGATCGAAGAAAAAACAAGAAAGGTGAGATCCATTTTATTATGTGTGTAAAAATTTGATTTATATAATGTTGAATCTCTATAAATATTATCCATAATTAAATACACAAAATAGCTCTGAAATATTTTCTGATATTTTAATCTATTGTAACCCCCTAAACGATTGGGGAGCCTCTGCCATTACTCTATTAGCATCATCATCATTTATCAGTGGTTGACAACGTAAGACAGGAGCTTTGCAACGCTTCAACAAACATGGAAACAGCTTCAGACTACGGAGCATTCATGGATAAATTCATTTTACCACCAAGTTCTTCACCTGGTCTTCCTTTGAATTCACTTACCTTTGCAATCAAAGACATGTAAGCTAGTCACTTTCCTTTCAGTAACACTAGATGCAGTGCAGAGTATCAAAATTCTTCTTTTCTGACCTCAAAGTCAACTCATATATAATTAACTTATGGGTTTGAATCAATGCATCTTGAACTTGAAGGAAGTGTTTTTGTGTTTGTGTTAAACAGATTCGACGTGGAAGGGTATGTGACTGGCTTCGGGAGTCCTGATTGGGCAAGGACTCATCCGGTGGCTACGTCTACTGCTCCAACAGTTTTGGCTCTCCTCAGAGCAGGTGCCACTTCTGTTGGTAAAACTGTCTTGGACGAAATGGCTTACAGGTTCTTTTTTTTCTTTTGGGGGGTCATTTTTTGCACTCATTCTATAAAACAATAGAGTTTTATAGTCCTTAAGCACTAAATTTTAGTTCGCAGGGACCATCTTTTCTCATTGAATGAAATTTTATGTGAAAAGATCCATGATCATTCTCATTGTTTTTAAATTGTGACTTTGGAAGTTATATAACTTTCTTAACTTATACTGAATCAGTAGATTATGTGGAAAATATGATCCTATCAGTATTTGTACTTTTGCCGTCAGGCATATATTTTGAACACTTTTATTTTTGTTAATCATATGACTGAGTACTCTGCTTTGGCAGTATAAACGGAGAGAACAAACATTATGGGACACCTAGAAATCCCTGTGCGGCAGATCGGGTTCCTGGAGGATCTTCTAGTGGCTCTGCTGTTGCAGTTGCTGCAAAGCTTGTGGATTTCTCATTAGGTGAGATATTAATCTTCCGTTCCATTAGTTATTTTTGGATACCATTATGTTAATAATTTGGAGTGTTTTTTTTCTTCTTCTTTTTATATATATATTATCTAAATAATAGGAACTGATACCGGAGGAAGTGTAAGAGTGCCGGCAGCATACTGTGGGATTTTTGGTTTTCGTCCATCTCATGGTGCTATCTCAACATCAGGAGTTATTCCTTTGGCACAAAGTTTTGATACTGTGGGTAATAACCCATCAGCTTGATAGCTCTGTTAAATCTGTACTTTTGGGTAAATGCATCATATGATAAAAACAAACACATTAACATATAATTTTTGTTATTAAAATTAAATTTGAGTATTGTTCATAATAACTTTGGGATTAGATAATGTCTGGAGGAACATACAGGTGAGTTAGTTTTCAGTTTCTCTTAAACTTAACAATGCAAGAGATATTTTTTTTCTGCAGTCCAATGCATTGAAACTCAAATATAATTAAATGTACGCATTTTCCTTCATGGTTGTAATGTGCTTGCATTGCATTTTCTTGTTCTGAATCAAATATGTATCTTAAAATTACAGTTTATGCATGAGGGAGTACTTGTTTTCTCTTGTTAACTGGTTAAAAAAGTATTTATGATCTTTAACAAGGTGCAGCTTTCTCTGAATTTCTTTACTCTAGATTTTAGGTATGAATTTTCCATTTGCAGATTTTGTCTCCTAGCATGGTGTACATCTAGTGGTCTTGAAATTATACCTTTAAAAGTTTTTAAACTCTTCTTTTGATGATTCATTCTCTTGTTTTCATCTTCACGTCCAGGATGGTTTGCTAGGGATCCAATGATTTTGGGTAGAGTTGGACGTGTACTTCTACAATTGCCAGACGTAGCACCTGTTAGACCTACTTGCATTATCATTGCAGAAGACTGTTTCCAGCTTTCAAGTATTCCATACGATCAACTTACAGGAGCTGTCATCAAAGCAATAGACAAGTTATATGGAGGTGAAAAATTGATCAGATAGATCTATTTCATCAATTTGATGTAGTTGTATGTTATTTATCAAACAGAAAATTTCAGAATTTAAATTTTAAAAGATCATGGATTCTTTTTTTCTCCCCTCTTAATATAGTCATAAATTTGTCTGTGGTTTTATCCTGATAATGATATTTGATATGTATTTGAGACAATTTGATTTTACTGAGTGGGAAATTTATTTCGTTGTATCCATTGTTGCAGGTGATGTATTAAAGCATAAAATCCTTGGTGACTATGTGAAGGCCAATGTTCCAAGTTTGAAGCATTTCATGAGTAAAGAGAATACTGACCAAGTATATAACATTGCATCACTGGCTGCACTTGAAAGTGCTTTGCGAAAGCTTCAGAGGTGTAGCTCACCAGTCAATCCCTGGTTTTCAGCAAAGATGACTGTAATTTTCTAGTGGGTTGTGGATTACATTGAATTGAAATTTGATTCCTTTCTTTGTGTACTATTTGAAACGTAGGTATGAATTCAAGAATAACCATGGTGAATGGGTTAGTGCTGTCAAACCTGATTTAGATCCTGGAATTTCAGAACGTGTATCAGAAGCCCTAAGGTCAACAGGGGAGAACATTGATATGTCTCATTCTGTAAAAGGGGAACTGCGTGATGCTCTTACTGCTCTTCTTGGGGTATTCTTTTTTTCTCTTTCTCTCACAAACAGGCATGCACGCAGGCCATACTAAGATCTTTGGAATCCCCAAAACCTGTGGATAAACATTGGATTTCAAAAGATGAACATATCATAGTTATATTATATCTTCATCAGACCATAAATATGTGATGATATGCGCAAATCATTCGTCCTAATACAGATTCTCTTCTTAGTCTTCATAAAAGGAAACCTCCTTTCTTCCTGTCCATGGAGAAATAATTTTCAAACATGCTTGTCATTTATCATCGATCAATCTCACTTCTTAAGTAATTATTTGAAAGTAATTAGTTGACTCTTCCCATCTGTGCATTTGTTTCAGCAAGTGTTTTCATATTCAGGAAGTAACAATTAAATTATTCTCTTTTCTCATTATCTAACTTGACTATGCTTGCTTTTTAAATAATCTAAATGAAAATACTTGATTCTCTGAATGAATAGACTTTATATACTATTTACATGTTAAAAATAGAAGTATTGTCAATGAAGAGAATCTCATTTAATTTAGAACAGAAAAGGAACAAGCATTCTTTCAGGTTGCTGCTTAAATGGCAGTAATCTGTTTTCTTTATTTCTGTTGGTCATTTTTTTCCTCTGCTATCTTGCTTGCTCAGGTGCCAAATGACATTTATACTTACAATTGTAAGTTCTTTTCATACAGAGAAGCCAGACTAGTAACTAGTAAGAGTGCTTCTTGTTACATAGATTTAGTATTATGATTATTATTATTATTTTTGGGAGGGGTAGTGGTAGAAGTGAAAATTGTTACCAAGATATTACTTTGTCTGGATTTGGAACAATTTGATGGCCATCTCATTTAGACTTCTGATGTGCACTTCTGGCATATTTGAAGGAACCAAATTATTTTCCATGAGTTCGCCTTTTCTTTAAGTCAGTGTAACAGTTTGAGTATGAAAATTTCAGGATTTTGGTGTTCTCATGATCCCCACGCTTCCAGGGCCTCCACCAAAACTGCAAACAAATGCATCTGAATTAGAAATTTTTCGTGCAAGGGCTTTTAGCCTGCTGTCCATTGTTGGAGTATCTGGATTTTGCCAGGTTGTCCCGTGTGTGTTTATTGTGTTGTGAAACACTTACTCCTATATTTTCTTTAATCAATCAAACTTCAGTTCAGAATTTTATAACAATGTGGTTTGTCCTGACACTTTGCAGGTAAACATACCACTGGGGATGTATAATAATCTTCCTATATCAATTTCTCTGGTGGCCAGACATGGTGCAGATGGATTCTTGCTTCACCTTGTTGAGGTTCTTTATGACAGGATTAAAGGAGAGGAATCAGCTTAGTCAGCATAAGTTACTTTAATCTGACTGCAAGGATGTCACTGTAAGTTATATATCCTACTCAAATCTAGGGAGAGAAATTTATGGAAATTGAGAGAGCTTCTGTGCAATAAACATATTTTAGTCCCTCATCTTATGTGCATGTTATAGTAGTTAATTTTGTGACTTGTGAGCAAACAAGAAAAGATTGTTATTTAGAAGAAGCAATCCATTATTTTTAGCACATGCAAAGGAAAGTCATAGATAAACTCGATGCTTTCTGCTTCTTCATGTCTAGTCATGCTTTTATTTTGCAGGTGTTATAAGTATGCATACTGTGTCAAAGCTGGGAGAGAAGCACAACCTGAACTACTGGCAAAAATAAAAGGAGGGTAAATAGTGTCAAGGAAATCCTTGCTTCTCTGACGCATCCTCTTCACTTCAAACATGATAAAGAGTACAATAAGTCATTAAGTCATACTATAGATATTATGCTTGCTTGGTTATGAAAGCATAAAAGCCACACTGAAATAAATGAAACTTACTTTAATACCATATCATGATATCAGTTGGTTCCATGAAGAATTAGATATTAAATTGTGTCGGTTACTCACAGAGGGATATGTGGAAAAGCACCATCCAGTTATCACTCCAACCACCATCTTTTCTTTTTGTATAGCAGGGCATACACTCCGCTAGACCGCTACGACTTGCATTATTTTCTTTTTGTCAAAGTGGGCTTTTGCTTTTTTAAATAAAAAAATAAACTTAACTCATGTAATTTATGTTTTTATCAGTTTATGTGACAATGGATAAATGTTTCATTTAGGTTTTCACAATGATGGGAAAAGAGAAAAGACATATAACTTTGAGTAAATAAGATGTAAATTTTGAAATAGGAAAAAATTAATTTCATTAACTTTAGACACGTCATTGTTATTTTACGAGTTTTGCTATCGCAATCTATCACCTCATTCTTTTTATAGAAAAAGTTGTTGCATTTTGTTCTGAGTTTATTCCTCCTGTTAGGCCTAACTGAACCTAACTGAACCCAAGCTCAAGAGCTCAACTCCTTTAGAGATCCTTTCATAGCTCGATAGATAATTTGATAAGTCAATGATTTTTTTTTTGTGTTTCAGAATTTCTTACTCGGATTAGCACTTTCGACTAAAGCCATAGGTTACGAGCTCGGATCGTGGGACCATAGACCAAGAGCTTGGATTATGAATTTAAACCCAAGATCTTTTCCTGTTTTGTTCGTAACCGTGATCACCCTAACCACATAATAAGGCTACGATTCCTATAATCGCCTAATAATATCACCTTCGTTGTAACTGCCACATGTGAAGGCTATATAAGCTTGTTAATAATATCAAAGGGGACACTTCACATCAATTCATCTCACTCATCCATTCATATAGAGCATATCTACTTAGCTTACCTTATCCATCACTGACACTAGACCTTAGCCATTGTGGGCATACCTTAAACACTTAACCTATAACCCACAAACCATAGTTGGAGTTCACTCAGAACATATTATTTTTACAGTAAAAATGTGTAATTTTTTTTTAAAAAATTTAATAAATTAAAATCATGATACATTCCAAACTAAATTAAAAGTAAATATATATTTGTTTATTTCAAAAAGATAAACTCACTTAAATCATTCCCTTTTACTTCCTTACCTACAAATTCAAGTAACAAGAAAGCCTTCCGCGAACCAAATGGTGGTAGCTCAGTTGGCGCATGGGAGGTGAGCAAGTGGGGGTGAGGGCATGTGTTCGAATCTCTCTAGTACCACCTTTGGGAGGGGTTTAAAACCTTAATCCTGGACCCGCCCCGAATCGGACTAATCGCGAAACGATGAACCGATGGAATATTTCCAAAAAAAAAAAAAAAAAAAAAGCCTTCCGCGATAATGTGTTTATTACAAAACACATTCTTAAATTGTATTAAAAAGACAAGCTAGATGTTGATCCACATTGAACATGCATATGCCTAACTTCATAAGCAAAGTGCTTATCACTCAAGACAGCCAATATGTTGGGACAAATTGGCAAGGGACAAATGCCAAGCCTACATAATATATATGACCTTTTTTTTGGGTTACATAGTAAGGGCTAAGCCCAAAAAAACACATAACATATATCTGTTTCCGTAATTGACGCCCCTTTTATATTTGGACATAAGAAAAAGGAATTCTTATATACTGAGATAGAATTGATGTTTGAATTTAAGGACTTAAATAGATATAAAAAGGTAAGAAGGGATTCTTTGGATCAACTTTTTTTTTTATAGATCTGCAAATATATACCAAACCTCTTTTTTAAATAAAAAAAGAAACACTTATTTATAGCTATGAATGATTGAAGCTGAGAATTTATAAACTATTTTCCATTCTGAATAGAATATGCCAAAAGTCCTTTTAATCAGTTACAGGCAGTGTTATCAAATTTTGGCATATTCTACTCAGAATGAAAAATAATTTATAAATTTCATCCACATACTGAATTAATTAATCATCGGTTTAATTAATAGGTCATTGTTTCAACAATTTAAATTAAATATATATTATAAAATATAATAAATAAAATCAGAAGTATTATAACTAATAAATAGTGTTGATTTAGTGGTAAGTGTTCTAAGTTATAATTCACATGGTCTATATTCAAAATTTTAAGATAACAATTTTTAAACTTTGGATACTTTTAAAAATTTTAAAATTTTTTTCATAATTTTTTAATAAACTTGTGTACAAAATACCAAGTGGTAATAATTTGATAAATAATAATAATTTATTATATTTACAATTACTAATGTTAATATATAAAATACTAGTGATTTTATTCTAATTTCTTTCTTTTAATTTGAAATTAATGTTTTTATATGAATTTTATTTACATGTTATATCTTAAGAAAAAGTGTTTGTCAGAAAACAACTCTATGTCCTTTTAAATGAAACAATCATATTTTAATATATTTAATTATTTTTTTATATTCTCTCTTATGCACAAATTTAGGAGGCAAAAGAGTGTAAAAAAAATACCAAAATAAAATTGTTTCACTTAAAATGATATAAAATTTTGTCATTTAAATGGCAAATGTTTTTTTCCTATATATCTTAACATGACAACTAATTTAAAAAAGGGAAAAATGTTTCCCCCATAATATAAGATAAAGTTATCATTAACAGTACCAAAATACGTCATTTCAGAGGTTTGGAAAAAAAATATAAAATATTTTTATTTTTATTTTCATTTTGTATAAAGTAATTTTATTAAAATATTCTATATTTTTTTTTTAAATTCACGATATCGATTTTGGGTTGCGGAGATTAATTTAAAGGAGAAACCTTAATCCCTTTAAAAAGAAGGAAAACGAATAATAATGTTATAAGAAAATTGTTAGAATATGTTATAGAAATAGAGATTGAGATTCACACTTATTTTCAAAAATCAAAAAACTAAAACAAATATGGATTCCATAATTTCTATATCTATCACGTAACTTAATAATTTTTTTACAATATTATACTTCTATTTTCCTTTAAAAAATTACCATATTCACGTCTCTGGTGTAAAATTGAACTTTTACATGATGTTTCAAATCTGTAATAGCACTATGCCACTCGTGTTGTAATTTTGCAGCATTAGGAGAATAGGTTGGGAGCGAGGTGCACGATACGATGGAAGATGACACAACGTTCGAGCTGATCAAGTGTGTTTCCTCGGTGTCGGAGGATTCCAGTTGCTGTTGCCCAATGTGCTTGGGAACATTGGTTCAAGTTTCCTACCTCGATAAATGTTTTCGTATGCCCTTACCCATTTCCTTGTTACTGTTTTTCTTAATAACCATGTCTCTGTTCTGTAGCCAGATAATAATAATAATCTTAACCCAAATTTGACATTATTAAAATTTAACATTTTTGTTGGGCCTTAATCCGAAAGTTTACAAATTTTTGCATATGGTGTAGAGTCTGTAGAACCTATAATGAATCAACAGAAAATAGTTTGGTTGATAATTTGGGTTGCATGCTTTAGCTTGTTTATATTGGTAACATATTTCTTTTAGTTCTTCTTACACTTGTCTAAGGCTGGTGGACAGTGTTGAGCTGTTGCTTAACGACTCAGGAAGGAACTTGGAAACTTCTTGTTTGAAAATCCCTGTTGGGAATTATATATCAAGAGAAGATTTATTAGGATGTTGAAATTTAAGAAGCAATTAGAGGCAATTGTACCAAATCACTTATGCTGCTATACATTATTCCTAGTAACTAGTTAACTACTAACTAGTAAACTTATTATTGTGTTGCAGATAAGTTTTGCTTCAATTGCATTTTACGCTGGACCAAAGTTGTTGCTGGCAAGCACCGTTCTCCACCTTCTTCTGTGAAATGCCCCCTTTGTAAGGTATGATTGAATTCGTTATTTTTCAACTTCAGACAAAAAAAATTTCGTTTAGATCTTTATTGCTGTGGACTTAAGTGAAGTATATCCATCTTGCTCCTATTTCGCCAGTTCCACCATGATAAACCTCTTTAAGACGAATTTGGATCAAGGACTTTTAAGTGCTCTCAATTCACTGCACCCTAAATGTTTCTTATGGACATCTAAAGTTGTATAACAGTAAGGATGATAATTTCATTTGTGATAGAATCAAGTGGAGAAATGGTAGTAGAAGATGGTTTCAAGTTGGATACACTGAGCTACTGACTTTGTAGTTTATCTCTAATATGCAGACAGAAAATTTTTCTATCATATATGGAGTTGATGGAAGTTGTTTTCAGCGACATTGTATGAATAAGGATTTTGAGGATAGGTTTGTCTCAGTTTTGTTGAAGTTAAAATTTTTAGTAGAATTATCTTTATGAACTTCGCGTAGAATATCTTTATGAACTTCGCTCTTCTATTTTTATATGCAGTTTTATCTTATCAAGAGCGCACAGATATAGATTACAATGCTATTACACTGAACAAGGTCTTCTACTATCTTTCATTTAACAAATTTCGTGCTCAATAGTGGTGTCTGTCTGTCATTTGGTTTTTGTTGCATTTTTGTTTATTGTTGTCAGTATTTGCTTTACTTTTAACTTTGTCTGAGCAGGATTTTTAGACGACACATTCAATATATCACAGTATTGGAAATCTCGTAAGTATTTTCAACCAAACTGCTGGCTTCAAAGTTGGTTAAGAAGGGAAATTCAAGCTCTTATCCAGGTTAGTGAATTTATCAGATTAGTGGTTTGTAGTGCGTTCTCTCTCAGATTAGTGTAAATTGTTCTCGTCCTCTGTAATTTTCTCTTCCAACTGAAAAAATATCCAGTGGCATAGTGTGCTTTATCTATTGCAGTATCTGGATTCACATTTATTGCATTTTCTTTAGTACTACTGTATGTAAGTGCCTAATTATGGATGAAATTTCTGATTCTTATCTTTCTTTCTTTTTTAATTAGTTTTTGTTTGGTGAAGGAGGACAAAGGGGGTTTGCTATAGTAATTGCATTGTTGTGTTCTTTGACTAGTACTACGTATTCGTGACTTATATTTCCTTTTGCTTAATCTGTAGGAGGAGGATGTGGACATCATTGTGCACGATATCCTTGGTGTGGTCAAACCATTATGGACTAGGTAAGTTTGTTCATGCATTTTAAGGTTATTTAACATTATTTGAGTATGAAAAATAATGATGGTTATGTTGGAATTTTTAATTCCTCAAAACCTTATGGTGATAACTATCACCCACAAGCCAAGATCCATCATACCAAATCATAAAGAAAAATAAGAACAACATAAAGGTGGAGGAATACCTGTCTCCATTGCAGCGGAATAACTTTTATCTTGTCTCTTGGGGTTTGTATGATAGATCTTGGCTTGTGGGTGATAGTTATCACCATAAGGTTTTGAGGAATTAAAAATTCCAACAATTGGTATAAGAGTCATCATCATATTGAATTATGAGGGAATTAAGTTTTGTGATTTTTATATATGATTAATCATGAAAAGTTTTGCTTTATTGTCTTTTGGCATAAAGTTTATTATTTTTTGAACGTGGGTTCCATCTTATGTATTTTGTATTAGCTATGTAGTGTTATTTTTGTTCCCTGACGGTGATTTTTTGGTTTTGGAACAAAAGTTACATTTTTTAGAAAAAAACTAGGATTCACAGTTTAATAAGGGTTTATTATTTAAATTTTGAATCTGTGAATAGATGGAATGTTTGGAAGAATTTTGGCTTTATAATCGATGAGGTTTTGTTGTTTGAATTTTTTGAATAAACAATGAATTCTCTTAGAAAATTTTGGACTTACGGTTTCAAAGAAATCAAATGTTTAAGGTCTTTGGTTTTGGGAATTTCCTTATATTTGATATTCTTTGTTAAAAGCTAAATATTTTTTTTTTTGGATATTATGCATCATTTTCAAGCTTTCATTTGAAAAGGCTTACATGTGCGTTGTTTGTGCATCATTTTTTAAGCCTTATAATGAATAAGTATTTATTGTTAATGGTATAAGGATAAAGTATGTATGTATATACATTGAGGATTGATAAAGAATAATTTTCTTTATTGTTGTTATTTTGGTTTTAAATGGGTTTATTATCCCTAAAGGTTTCTATTTGAAATTAAATATGATAGATTTGTTAGCCGCCACAGTGGCCAAATTTATAAAAGGTTAATTTGATTTCAAATAGGTTGGTTATATAAATATATTTTATTTATGCAAATATTAATCGGCCCACAGGAAGGTTATTGTTTGGCCAAATAACATATGTTGTGTGATCATGTGTGTGTTTATTGCTTATGCGAATAGTGATCGGCCCACAGGAAGGTTATTATTTGGCCAAGTAACAAACATACCTGTGGTAATAAATATGTGACAATTATCAAGAATTCTCCATGTAATTCATAGTCGGCCCACAGGAAGGCTATGATTTGACAGGACTTATTGTCAATGTTTGATTACTACATTAAGAGTACCACTTACAAGTTGATATTTTTGTCCACAGACTAAATATTAATGTCGTGCTAGGTATCTTATAATAAACTCATTTTACTTCGGATTATTTGTCTATATCGTGTATGTATATATATGATATGACATGTTATTAGTATGTTATCTTTTTTGTTCTCTGTATAGTTTCTGCTACCGCTGCCAATTATGTTGCTCAAATGAATATGCTTCCAATGCTTAATGGGGCAAATTTCAAGCTGTGGAAAGAGAATGTGGAAATTGTTCTGGACTGCATGGATCTCGACAATGCACTAAGGACTGAGAAACCCACTTCCACTCAGGAAAATCCAAACCCAGATAAAATTGAGAAGTGGGAACGCTCAAATCGCATGTGTCTGATGATCATGAAACGTTCTGTTCTGGAGGTGTTTAGGGGCTCGATTGTTGAGACTACTGATGCCAAGTTGTTTTTAAAGGAACTCGAGCAATACTTTGCTCGAAATGAAAAGGCTGAAATTGGTCAAACCTTGTCCAAACTCATAAACATGAGGTATAAAGGAAAGGGAAACATAAGGGAGTACATTATGGAAATGTCTAATCTTGCTGGAAAACTAAAGGCATTAAAGTTAGAGCTGCCCTCTGAGTTGCTCATGTACTTAGTTATTATCTTTCTTCCTGCACAATACGGTCAATTTGTGGTGAGTTATAACACTCAAAAGGAAAAATGGACTCTTAATGAGCTCATTTCTCAATGCGTGCAAGAGGAAGAGAGGTTACAGCGAGAGAAGACTGATAGTGCTCACTTGGCATCAACCTCTCAAGACAATAAAAGAAAGAGAGCTAAGGATAATGCGGATGCTTTGCCAAAGAAGCAAAAGAAGCAGGACCAGGAATTCACTTGCTTCTTTTGTAAGAAATCTGGACACATGAAGAAAGAGTGTTCCAAATACAAGGCATGGCGCGAAAGAAAGGGTATGACTCTCACTTTAGTTTGTTGGTACTGGTTCTGTGGCACAAGCGTTTAGGTAATATCTCTAAACAGAGAATTCAGAGGCTTGTGACTGATGGAATTCTTGAACCCCTTGATCTGGATGATTTTGAGGTGTGCATTGAATGCATAAAGGGGAAACAGACAAACATAAGGAAAGTAGGTTCCAACAGAGCTTCAGACGTCTTAGAATTGATTTATACGGATATTTGTGGACCATTTCCTATAGCCTCTTGGAATGGTCAACAATACTTTATCACATTCATAGACGACTATTCAAGATTTGGATACCTATATTTGATTAGAGAGAAGTCACAATCATTGGATGTGTTCAAAGAATTTAAAGCTGAAGTTGAACTTCAGTTAGGCAAGAAAATTAAGGCCATTAGATCTGATCGTGGTGGTGAATACTATGGTAGATCTGATGGATCAGGTGAACAACGTCCAGGGCCCTTTGCGATCTTCCTAAAGGAGTGCGGAATCATCCCGCAATACACAATGTCAGGTAAACCTAGCATGAATGGTGTTGCGGAAAGGCGAAACCGGACTCTTAAAGACATGGTGAGGAGTATGCTTAGTCATTCTTCATTGCCAGAATCACTTTGGGGAGAAGCACTAAATACTGCAGTTTATATCCTTAATAGGGTTCCCAGCAAAGCAGTGACAAAAACCCCTTATGAGCTATGGAATGGAAAGAAACCTAGCATAAGGCATTTACACATTTGGGGTTGTCCAGCAGAAGCAAGGCCTTATAGGCCAAATGAAAGAAAGTTGGACTCAAGAACAATCAGCTGCTATTTTGTTGGATATGCTGAACGCTCTCGGGGCTTTAAGTTTTATAATCCCACTACAAGATCCTTTTTGGAGACGGGAAATGCCAGATTCCTTGAGGATGTTGAGTTTGGGGGGAAGATAAAATAGGGAATGTTGTCTTTGATGTGGAAGAAAATAATATTTCTCTTCCTAATATTGTCATCATTCAAGATGCAATTACGGAACAAACAATTAATGATCAGGTCCCTGTTCATGACATTGTTATGGAACAGGCTTTGGTCCCTGACATTGCTTTGGGTCAAGACAATAATGAACCACCCTCTATGCCACCTATAGAACAAACTCAACAAACTCAAGAAGTTCCATTAAGGAGATCCACTAGAGAAAGGAGAAATGCAATTCCGGATGATTATATTGTGTTTCTTCAAGAGCATGAAAATATTTTAAGCTTGAAGGAAGATGATCCAATCAACTTCCAAAAAGTCTTAGAAAGCTCTAATGCTCCTAAATGGATTGATGCCATGAAAGATGAGATGCAATCTATGAAAGACAACGACGTTTGGGATCTTATTGAGATGCCTAAAGGTGCGAAACCCATTGGTTGTAAATGGATATTTAAAACCAAAAGGGATTCAAATGGCAACATCGAAAGATATAAGGCACGTCTAGTTGCTAGAGGTTTCACTCAGAAAGAAGGCATAGACTATAAAGAGACTTTCTCTCCGGTTTCTACGAAGGACTCTTTGAGGACAATAATGGCGCTTGTGGCTCATTTGGATTTGGAGCTACATCAGATGGACGTAAAGACAGCATTTCTCAATGGCAACATTGATGAGACAATTTATATGGTGCAACCAGAAAACTTTGTATTGGGAGATTCAAAGTATATGGTTTGCAAATTGAAAAAGTCCATCTATGGCCTTAAGCAAGCTTCTCGTCAATGGTACCACAAATTCCATCAGGTTATTATCTCTTATGGCTTTGAGGTGAACTTAGTGGGAGATTGTGTGTATCACAAGTTCAGTGGGAGTAAATTCATATTCCTGATACTATATGTTGATGATATCTTACTTGCCAGTAGCGATATAGGCTTATTGCATGAAACCAAGAAACTTCTCACTAAAGATTTTGAGATGAAGGACCTTGGTGATGCATCTTTTGTCTTAGGAATACAGATACTTCGAGATCGCGCTCAAGGTATCCTACGGTTATCACAAAAGGCCTACATTGAAAAGATTTTGGATAGATTTGGCATGAAGGATTGTACGTCAGGAGATACGCCCATATCTAGGGGAGACAAGTTTAGTCTCGCCCAATGTCCTAAAGATAAGCTTGAGATGATAGAAATGACAAAGGTACCTTATGCTTCGGCAGTAGGAAGCCTTTTGTATGCCCAGGTTTGTACTCGCCCTGATATAGCATTTATAGTGGGAGTGTTAGGAAGATACTTGAGCAATCCAGGAATGGATCATTGGAAAGCAGCCAAGAGGGTTATGCGGTATTTAAAGAAAACAAAAGATTATATGCTTACATATCGGAGGTCAGATCAATTAGAGATCGTCGGATATGCTGACTCTGATTTTGCTGGATGCCGAAATAGTAAAAGATCCATGTCAGGTTTTGTCTACATGTTGGCTGGAGGAGCTATTTCTTGGAAGAGTGTTAAACAGACACTCGTAGCTTCCTCTACTATGGCCGCTGAATTTGTAGCTTGTTTTGAGGCATCCAACCTTGGGGTATGGCTGCGAAACTTTGTCACAGGGCTGCATATAGTGAGTGGTGTTGAAAGGCCACTGAAGATTTATTGTGACAACAGATCAGCAGTGTTGTACTCCAACAACAACAGAAGCTCTTCAAAATCGAAGCACATCGATATAAAGTTTCTGGTTGTTAAAGAAAGAGTTCAGAGCGGTCAGATTTCCATAGAACACATAGGGACGAACTCCATGCTTGCGGATCCGCTTACTAAAGGCTTAGTGCCTAAGGTCTTTCACGAGCATACTGCTCATATGGGTGTTGTTTTGTTCGATGACACTACGGTTTAGTGGGAGTTCTTTATGTTAGTGTTCTATGAAGATTAAATTTTCTGCAGAATAAAGAATTCAATGTTATTTTCCCTCTGAATGTATTAAATTTTGTGCTTGTGTTTCTGCTTTGTGTATGCAGAAAATTTAGGATTGATCTCATAAAGATTAAAGTAGGACCAGTTGGAAATAGGCATGGTAAGATCACATTGCATGTAATTTCCATGCCACTCATCCATACTTGATCTATGTCATTGAATATATTGGTGCGATGACCATGGAAGGTTTAGTTACGCTTGAAAGTGACAAAAGCCGCCATGATCTCATATTGATATAGGAGGTGGACCAGATTGTATCTAAGGAGGAATCTAAAGAAAAATAGCATACAGTTGCGCACTAAAGAAATATGATATAATTATTTCAAGTTAATATGTGGCCCAAGTGGGAGATTGTTAGAAAATTATATTTTCTAATAATTATTGTGGGTCACATATTATATTAATAATTATATTGTGCTATTTATATATATTGGGTAAATTAAAGTGATCAGGTAAATATTCTCAAATAGATTCCTAAGTGAGTATGGGCTGAATGAGTGGATACCGGTGTTGGGCCAACTAGGTATAATGGGAGCTTATTGGCCCAACAATAAAGATAAAAACACTATAAAGGGTTATGGTCCCCAATACGTCAAATTGAATAACCCTAGTTTCTCTTCCCCATCAAGAGAGAGACGGCACACTAAGGAATTCGGTTTTAGGGTGATTTGACTGAGGAAGACTACAAACCCCAAGAGACAAGATAAAAGTTATTCCGCTGCAATGGAGACAGGTATTCCTCCACCTTTATGTTGTTCTTATTTTTCTTTATGATTTGGTATGATGGATCTTGGCTTGTGGGTGATAGTTATCACCATAAGGTTTTGAGGAATTAAAAATTCCAACAGGTTAATGTTAATTCTCGAACTTCCAGTAGAGAGCAGAAGTCACACATAAATGCACCTGAAAAGAAACAGGAGGAGTTCAAGATGTCAGTCTCTGAAGCAGCGAGGCCTTTTCTGGCAGCAAGAACGGACAGATTTGTAAATGAGATTCAACTTTTTCTTGCTTCAGGATTGAATATAGAAGCTTATGATGCTGTTTACATACAACGATTAGGTTGGAGCTCACCTGGGGTAAACACTGAGGTTTCTCAAAGTGAATTAACTGATCGCACAACTGTGATTCCATACCTGTATATATTTGATGACGACTCTGATGGAAATGAGTAGATTCCTTTTTCTGTTTTTCTCACTTATTTGCTGTAATTGCTGTATAGTGTGATTGTTACCCGAATAGCATCGGAGAAAAAATTCATATATCAATAAGCGCTATTGAGGGTTTGGATCCTAAGCAGTTATTTTAAAACTGCAGGATGAGCAATTATCTATCCAAGGGTCCAAAATTGTTAACATGCTTTTTATTCATATTTTAGGGATTAATGTATTTTATGTTGTAGGAGATAAATTTATCTCCTATACATGCATAAAAGTGTATGGAATTCATATTTTTTTCTCTCTCTTTTCTCTTCACATGGCCCTAGATGGGTCCCACATACTTTCATATGTGTGTAAGAGATAAATTTATCTTCTATAACATGAGAAACGTTAAACTCGATATTTTATCATATAAACATTTTTCATGGTCTAGATTTTATGCTGTTCTAACTAAACTGCACAGGATCCATTTTCCGCTATTGAATATAAAACTCCTGATTCTTTAAGTTCTCACTGGCTAGCCAACAACATTTGCCTTCTTTATTAAAAGGGAAAAAAAAACATTGTTCACTTTATTAATTGATTTAATGTGTGATATTAATTGTGATCGAGTTTCTAACTTGTAACTTTCGCCACTCTGCGATACAGAACATAAACTAATAAAATTTAGAAAGAAAAGAAAAAAATGGCTGTTGGAAAAACTGAAAAACGGTAAAAGATAGAAGAGGAGTAAAATTTAAATGAATGAATGATGTGAAAACTGAAGAATAAAATAAAATAAAACGCCTTGGTTAGTAGAACACAAAGTGAAGGACAAAAAGATTTAGAAGGATGTTGTGTGATTGATATTTTGGATTGGCCAATCGAAGTTTTATGCTAGCCTTATCCTTTTAAAGAATCAGGAGTAAAATAAAAATACACTAAACGAGTGTGGAGCCTCTGCCATTCCTCTATTATCATCATCATCTATCAGTGGTTGACAACGTAAGACAGGAGCTTTGCAACAAACATGGAAACAGCCCCAGACTACGGAGCATTCATGGATAAATTCATTTTACCACCAAGTTCTTCACCTGGTCTTCCTTTGAACTCACTTATCTTTGCAATCAAAGACATGTAAGCTAGTCACTTTCCTTTCAGTAACACTAGGTGCAGAGTATCAAAATTCTTCTTTTCTGACCTCAAGTCAACTCATATATAATTAACGTATGGATTTGAATCCATGCATCTTGAACTGGAAGGAAGTGTTTTTGTGTTTGTGTCAAACAGATTTGACGTGGAAGGGTATGTGACTGGCTTCGGGAATCCTGATTGGGCAAGGACTCATCCGGTGGCTACATCTACTGCTCCAACAGTTTTGGCTCTCCTGAAAGCAGGTGCCACTTCTGTTGGTAAAACTGTCATGGATGAAATGGCTTACAGGTTCTTTTTTTATTTCTTTTTGGGGGTCATTTTTTGCATTCATTCTAAAGAACAATTGAGTTTTGTAGTCCTTGAGCCCTAAATTTTAGTTTGTTGGGGCCATCTTTTCTCACGGAATGAAATTTTATGTGAAAAGATCCATGATCATTGTCATTGTTTTTAAATTGTGACTTTTTATATCTTAGAGTTGGAAGTTATATAACTTTCATAACTTTTACTGAATAAGTAAATTATGTGGAAAATATGATCCTATAAGTATTTGTATTTTGCCATCAGGCATATATTTTGAACACTATTTTTGTCAATCATATGATTGAGTACTCTGCTTTTTCAGTATAAACGGAGAAAACAAACATTATGGGACACCCAGAAATCCCTGTGCGGCAGATCGGGTTCCTGGAGGATCTTCTAGTGGCTCTGCTGTTGCAGTTGCTGCAAAGCTTGTGGATTTCTCATTAGGTGAGATATTAATCTTCCGTTCCATTACTTATTTTGGGGCACCATTATGTTAATAATTTGAAGTGTTTTTTTTCTTCTTTTATATATATATTATCTAAATGATAGGAACTGATACCGGAGGAAGTGTAAGAGTGCCTGCATCATACTGTGGGATTTTTGGTTTTCGTCCATCTTATGGTGCTATCTCAACATCAGGAGTTATTCCTATGGCACAAAGTTTTGATACTGTGGGTAATAATCCATCAGCTTGGTAGCTCTGTTAAATCCCTATTTTTGGGTGAATGCATCATAACATAAAAACAAACACATTAACATTGATGGCTATGATTATAGTACTTTTCATAATTTTAATTTTTAAAAATTTATTTTAAGTATTGTTCATAATAACATTGGAATTAGATAATCACTGGAGGAACATACAGGTTAGTTTTCAGTTTCTCTTAAACTTAACAACGCATGAGATAATTTTTTCTGCAGTCCAATGCATTGAAACTCACATATAATTAAATGTACGCATTGTCCTTCATGGTTGTAATCTGCTTGCATTGCATGTTCTTGTTCTGAATCAAATATGTATCTTAAAATTACAGTTTATGCATGAGGGAGTACTTGTTTTCTCTAGTTAACTGGTTAAAAAAGTATTTATGATCTTTAACAAGGTGCAGCTTTCTCTGAATTTCTTTTCTCCGGATTTTAGGTATGAATTTTCCATTTGCAGATTTTGTCTCCTAGTGGCATGGTGTACATCTAGTGGTCTTGAAATTATACCTTCAAAAGTTGTTAAACTCTTCTTTTGGAGATTCATTTTCTTGATTTCATCTTCACATCCAGGATGGTTTGCTAGGGATCCATTGATTTTGAGTAGAGTTGGACGTGTGCTTCTACAATTGCCAGACGTAGCACCTGTTAGACCTACTTGCATTATCATTGCGGAGGACTGTTTCCAGCTTTCAAGTATTCCATACGATCAAGTTACAGGAGCTGTCATCAAAGCAATAGACAAGTTATATGGAGGTGAACAATTGATCAGATAGATCTATTTCATCAATTTGATGTAGTTGTATGTTATTTATCAAACAGAAAATTTCAGAATTTAAATTTTAAAAGATCATGGATTCTTTTTTTCTCCCCTTTTAATATAGTTATAAATTTGTCTGTTGTTTTATCCTGATAATGATATTTGATATGTATTTGAGACTATTTGATGTTACTGAGTGAGAATTTTTTTTGTTGTATCCATCGTTGCAGGTGATGTATTAAAGCACAAAATCCTTGGTGACTATGTGAAGGCCAATGTTCCAAGTTTGAAGCATTTAATGAGTAAAGAGAATACTGACCAAGTATATAACATTGCATCACTGGCTGCACTTTCAAGTGCTATGCGATTGCTTCAGAGGTGTAGCTCACCAGTCAATCCCTGGTTTTCAGCAAAGATGACTGTAATTTTCTAGTGGGTTGTGGATTACATTGAATTGAAATTTGATTTCTTGCTTTGTGTACTATTTGAAACATAGGTATGAATTCAAGAATAACCATGGTGAATGGGTTAGTGCTGTGAAACCTGATTTAGGTCCTGGAATTTCCGAACGTGTATCAGAAGCCCTAAGGACAACAGGGGAGAACATTGATATGTGTCATTCTATAAAAGGGGAACTGCGTGATGCCCTTACTTCTCTTCTTGGGGTATTCTTTTTTCTCTTTCTCTCACAAACAGGCATGCTCGCAGGCCATACTAAGATCTTTGGAATCCCCAAAACCTATCGATAAACATTGGATTTCAAAAGATGAACATATCATAGTTATATCTTCATCAGACCATAAATATGTGATTATATGCACAAATCTTTCCTCCTAATACAGATTCTCTTCTTAGTCTTCATAAAAGGAAACCTCCTTTCTTCCTGTCCATGAAGAAATAATTTTCAAACATGCTTGTCATTTATCATCGATCAATCTCACTTATTAAGTAATTATTTGACTCTTCCCATCTGTACATTTGTTTCAGCAAGCGTTTTCATATTCAAGAAGTAACAATTAAATTATTCTCTTTTTTCATTATCTAACTTGACTATGCTTGCTTTTTAAATAATCTAATTCCATAAATGAAAATTATAGATTCTCTGAATGAATAGACTAAATATACTATTTACATGTTAAAAATAGAAGTATTGTCAATGAAGAGAATCTCATTTAATTTAGAACAGAAAAGGAACAAGTATTCTTTTAGGTTGCTGCTTAAATGGCAGTAATCTGTTTTCTTTATTTGTTGGTCATTTTTTTCCTCTGCTATCTTTCTTGCTCAGGTGCCAAATGACATTTATACTAACCATTGTAACTTCTTTTCATACAGAGAAGTCAGACTAGTAACTAGTAAGAGTGCTTCTTGTTACATAGATTTTTATTATGATTATTATTATTATTTTTGGGAGGGGTAGTGGTAGTGGTGTAAAATTGTTACCAAGATATTACTTTGTCTGGATTTGGAACAATTTGATGGCCATCTCATTTAGACTTCTGATTTGCACTTCTGGCATATTTGAAGGAACCAAATTATTTTCTCTGAGTTCGCCTTTTCTAAGTCAGTCTGACAGTTTGTGTATGAAAATTTCAGGATTTTGGTGTTCTCATGATCCCCACACTTCCAGGGCCTCCACCAAAACTGCAAACAAATACATCTGAATTAGAAATTTTTCGTGCAAGGGCTTTTAGCCTGCTGTCCATTGTTGGAGTATCTGGATTTTGCCAGGTTGTCCCCTGTGTTTGTTTTTTGTGTGATTGTGAAACACTTACTCCTATATTTTCTTTAATCAATCAAACTTCAGTTCAGAACGTTATAACAACGTGGTTTGTCATGACACTTTGCAGGTAAACATACCACTGGGGATGTATAACAATCTTCCTATATCAATTTCTCTGGTGGCCAGACATGGTGCAGATGGATTCTTGCTTCACCTTGTTGAGGTTCTTTATGACAGCATTAAAGGAGAGGAATCAGCTTAGTCAGCCTAAGTTACTTTAATCTGACTGCAAGGATGTCACTGTAAGTTATATATCCTACTCAAATCTAGGGAAAGAAATTTATGGAAATTGAGAAAGCTTCAGTGCAATACACATATTTTAGTCCCTCATCTTATGTGCATGTTATAGTAGTTAATTTTGTGACTTGTGAGCAAACAAGAAAGGCGTGTTATTTCAAAGAAGCAATCCATGATTTTTAGCACATGGAAAGGAAAGTCATAGATAAACTATATGCTTTCTGCTTCTTCATGTCTAGTCATGCTTTTCTTTTGCAGGTGTTATGAGTATGCATACTGTGCCAAAGCTAGGAGAGAA